AATACCTACTTTCAAGAATATTACGAATAGTAAGGAAAACAGCATGATACTGGAACAAAAATTGGCATAAAGACCTACAGAACAGAATAGAGAACCCAGAAATTAACTTATATAGATTTAGCCAACTGATTTTTGAGAAAGGTGCCAAGAACATGCATTAGAGAAAGGATAGTCCTTTTAACAAATGATATTGTCAAAACTGGACACACCATGCGTAGAAAATAAATTTAAATCTCTACCTCCTACCACATACAAAAATCAACTCAAGATGATCAAAGATCCTAAATGTAAGAACTGAAACTATTAAACTGCTAGAAGAAAACATAGAGGGAAACAAGTACAGATACTGGAGTAGGCAATAATTTCTTGGGTAAGACTGTAAAAGTGCAAGCAACGGAAGCAAAACTACTCAAAGGAGACTGTATCAAATTCAAACTTCTACAAAACAAAGGGAATGATAAAAAATGAAGAAACATCTGACAGAATGGGAGAAAATGTTTGCAAGCTACTTACCTGATAAATGATTAGTATTCAGAAGGTATCAGGAACTCAAAAAACTCAACAACGATAAAACAAACAACCCGATGGGGTCAGTACTGTAGTGCAGTGGGTAAAAGCCATGTTTTCTTAGCTACATCCAGTCTTTTTTCTAATAATGTTCTCCATTTGCTCAGAGCTAGAAAACAGTTCAGATTGATCCTGAATTAGTGTGTCCATACTGTTAAAAGCACAGACCATTTGGGGGTTAAATAGCTAATATTTTTCCAATTAAAATATTAAGCAATGATAAAATCTAATCTTCTAATGTTTTTTTAACTTTTATTTAGTAGATATAAATTTCCAAAGTACAGTTTATGGATTACAATGGCTTTCCCCCCCCATAACTTCCCACCCACTCACAACCCCCCATCTCCCACTCCCTCTCCCATTCCATTCACATCAAGATTCATTTTCGATTATCTTTATATACAGAAGATCAATTTAGTATATATTAAGTAAAGATTCTAATGTTCTTTCAAAACCATATGTTAAAGATCTATCTACTGGGGCTGGCGCTGTGGCATAGGGGGAGCTGGCGCTGTGGCATAGGGGGTAAAGCTGCCGCCTGCAGTGCTGGCATCCCATATGGGCGCTAGTATGAGTCCCAGCTGCTTTACTTCCAGCTCTCTGCTGTGGCCTGGGAAAGCAGTAGAGGATGGCCCATGGCCTTGGGCCTCTGCATCCATGTGCGAGACCTGGAATAAGCTCCTGGCTCCTGGCTTCGGATCTGCTCTGCTTTGGCAGTTGCGGCCAACTGGGAAGTGAACCAGCAGATGGAAGACCTCTCTCTCCCTCTGTCTCATCTCTCTGTGTGTAACTCAGACTTTCAAATAAATAAATATTTAAAAAAAGACCTATCTGTCTATCATTTTAGCAATGGGAGAGCAAATTTTGTTGCTTTTCAAAAGGGGCATAAAAAGATCAGAAACATAGAACAGGAGTATCAGTTTGCTTTCACTAGAACTACATAAGTAATACAGACTACTATAATTCCAGTTAAAAGTCCGGAATTTCTTCTTAACCAATGTCTACTCTACTCCTTGTTCAGTCATGTTTGGTAAATAAACTGATGAGAGAAGAAACCCCAAGAAGGGACAAATGTGGAAAAAAGGGATAGGGAAGAGTGGGATTCTTTTGAGCACTTGTATAGGAGTACTAAAACAAGTGAGTGAATTTAACTTTAGCTTTGTTTTTAAAGATAAAGTAGGCCTGTTATCCTATATTATTTTATTTCATTGTTTATTTATTTAAAAGGTAGACAATGATAAGAGAGAGGTGGGTGGGTGGGGAGAGATTGATTTCATCCCTTTATTAACTACCCAAATGCCTGGTCAGGCACAAGCCAGGAGCAGGGAATCCAAGGCTCCAAGGAGGGTGGCAGAGTCCCGAGCTCTTGGGCCATCACCTGCTGCCTCCAAGATTTCACATTATCAGGGAGCCGAAATTGGGAGTGAGGATGGAATTTGGACTCAGGCACTCAGACATGCATTCCATATTTGTGCCAAACATCTGGTCCATAATTCTATTTTTTACAGTAGTATCTATAACACTAGTAACAGGCTTTAGGGAGGTAACTATATTTGCTTATTTAGTGATGAGATAGGAAACCTTTGTGCCAGAAACAAGCAGAATCTGACATTTTAAGTTCTCCCAAACAAACACTGGTGTTAGTTACAATTTATGTGAAAACATCTCAATATTTACCTCTTGATTGAAATTTCTTGAATTAATACAAATAATAATGTAATTTTCCTTTAAAGTAAAAACTTTATGGAACTGTCACAGAGGTAATAATAAAGCGTACATAATTCAAGAAAATACAATCATTTGATCCAAAATTTCTTATAAATTTTTATATTTCTTGAAAACTCAAAGCACAAATTGACTTCAATGTTCATTAGCAAGGATTTTCATGTATTGCCATAATATTTGTTTCTTTGAGCATTATCCTACTAATTAACAGCATTTTGACTAGATGTTATGGTGTATGATGTTTGTATGCAGTATGTACATATATATAGACACACACACATATATATATACATATATATACCTATTACTTTTCTTCTTAGACATACATTCTTTACAATTTATTTCAGCGCATTATTTCTACTAATTGAACTATGTCAAAATCCTGATACAATTTTGATTGACTTACATACTTACATGAATGTTTATTTAATATCCTCCAAGTTTATCATATAAGTATATTATCTTTGCAAATTAATAATGATGGACAAAATAATACAACCAAAAAGTAGCAGTGAAATAATTGTAAACCTATTTTATAATTTATTTTCTCCCACTTCTTTCTTTCAGATAGAAAGGAATCTGTAAGTCTTTTTCCCTTATGATTCCAATCAGTAAGGGCAAAACATATTTTGTGTTTAAAATAGAGTTGACTGTGTTATAAATAATTCATGTTCCCTACCAACAAATTTTTGGTTAACTTCTGTATACTTTTTTTACCCATTAAAATATGATATGTCATTTTTACCAAATAATTGGTTCATCCTGTAGAGTGTAGTACTTTTATCAGTCACCTAGGGTATGTTTCTAAAGGACAGTTGGTCCTCAAGATAGCAAAATCAAGATGGAAGACAAGTTAATGGATTAAAGGAGACTTCTTTAGTACTTGATATGTAACAAAGGTCAGCACTTATACTACTGATGGTCAAGGCATGTCTCACTGAATTCACAACCACCCAATTAGATTACTCTACAACTGGCTAAAAATAAATATCTTGCCCATGATCACAAATAAAATGAGGTATGAGATTGAAACCTAAATTCACCAGGTTCATAATCATTGTTTCTGATTCTCAGTCTGTGTATGTATCCACACATATCATATATATACACCTAAACACACACATACAGATATACACACATATGTGGCTTCCAAACATAGATGCCAAACAACTGCAAATCACCTCAGTAATCATTTATTAATATATTTTTGTAAATGAAATCTTATATTTTAGAGTCTACATTTAAGCCAATTCATCTCTTTTTTCCAAAGTGGTTGTGCAGTTTTATTTTTTAATTTTAATTTTTTTATTTTAATTTTCAATTACTTTATAACAGATTCAGTATGGTTTGCAGACACAATTCTAAGAACATAATAATATCCCCTCCCTTTTTCGCTCTTACTTTCTGTCAATTCATCTTTTAGGAAATTATTTTATCACATGGATATGGGTTAATATATGTTTTAGTCACTTCATATGTTTACTATGTTTGCCAAGTTTCTTGTTTTCTATGTAGAACTATTGTAAAATTCTCTAATTTTGGATTTGTAAGCATGAATATTCAACCTAACTCACAGATTCAATTGTTAAAAACTTATCATGTGCCCTATAAATGTCCCTCTAATGAAAGAATTCTAATTTGTTTGTCTCATTTGGTTTATTATACCATCAGAAATAATTTAACTGTGCTGTGAAAGATTATTTTCCACACAACTGTAGGGTAACTGAGAATCCAGTGACCTTATTAAGAACCCTGACCTTAGACTTTACTGCACCATTTCAATGTGTTAAGTGGATTTCTGAGGCCACAGGAGGCCCCCCACGATGCAGACCACTTAGCAAATGAAAAGTCCTCAAAGCTATCTCAAAACCTAGAAGGTGAACTTCAACTATGTCATAATCCTAACTGGAACTCCAGTGCACTTCCAGAGACTCTTGACTCAAAGTTGCTTATTGTACCTATAGTCAAGGATTAGGATAAGATATGTTTACAAATTCAACATTTTATTAAATTGATATTACATTCAAGGGCCCATCAAATTTCTTGGAAATGCATAGTATGAAAAGATCACACAAGGATTTCCAAAATCTGTGGCCCTTAAATAAACTTATTTTTAATTTCATTTCCATGAATTTTTAAGTGCCCTGATACATGAAAAACTAAGCTGTGAATCAAAGGACAGCCTTTTTACACAGAGTGAATTGTTGGTGTTTATTGTGTAATAGATCAGAAATAGAAATATGTTTTCTAAATTTTACATTTGTATCCCATCTGTTTACTGCCAGTAAATGATACTTGCTTTGCTCCAGATTTTCAATTTCAAGGAACTTATATTTCTACATAAAGAATTTCTACATAAAGATGTAAGTACATAAAATAAAATAATGAGTCAAAATATTCCATGAAAATAAACTGGCAATTATATGCTTAATTTATTTGTAAACATCACAAGTAAATTTAAAAATTTTAACGCTAGTTTGTGGTATTAGAATAAATACCTACCTGGAAGTAAACAGCAAACAATACTTTGTCAAGATGTTCAATTAGCAAAAATAAGCATGTTTATCTTTATGACTGAGACTTCAAAACTTCGATTAGTAGTTTTAACTGAATGAAATATATATACATTCTAAGATTATTCTGAGTGATATATGTATATATGCATATTTGTAAGATTAGATGGGAGTTGTAACAAGGATGGATCACAATCTAACTCATTTATTCACCTATGTTAATAAGTAAATTGCTAAATTATGTCATAGATTTAGTGTTAAACCTCAGAAGCTATTGCTAATGCCATAGAGAATTAATCAATCTATCTACAATAGAATTTTTCACATAGCCTCTAAAAATAGATGCACTATTAGCACACAATTTTGATTCTTGATCAGTTCTGGAGTTGAAGATGGATAAATTGATAAAGGGTAACAGAATATGATCCTGAAGTGGGGAAAAAAATCTCAAACCCACGTCTGTACTAGAAATAAAAGGCAACCATGTTGTTTTGAACCCCGTATTATATATAAACTTGTTTAATATCCCACTACTAAATTTATGAATGAAATAGATTTTTGAATCATAGTATTATTATTTTGAACTATAATATTACTATTACTATAATAAATACCCAATGATTACATCACTGCCTAATGAGATTTAAAATAAGGTAATAAATGTCAACATAACATAAATTTCTAGTATTTTTGGTTCAATTTTATATTTTGAACCAACTTCATTTGACATGTTATATCAAAACTAAGATAGAGGTTTTGCTTTAGATTTGGATTTTGTCACATCTGTATTTTTATTATTAAACTTTATTATATTGAAATTTTTTATCACTAAAGTTTTTCATCAATGATCAACTTTATAAATAAAGCTTGCATTGTTACATGATGGTTAAGTCAACTAACCCTCCAATATATCACAATATTAAAAACTAGAGCAACTGCTACAAATGATCTCCCTTAGGAAACCCTTATACATATATTATGTTGTTCATCTTATCCTGAAATTCAAATCCAGGGATGAAGCAATACGGATCTTATCTTTCACATACTAACAAAGAATTCTTTTATCCTTATTTTCCAGAAGGTTCCAGGGGTGACGTGGTCAGCAATAGGACTGACTCCAATGGCAGCAGCAGACTTTAATATAGCACTCGTTCCTTGTCTCTGGAGGATATGACACTGCTATCAATGCAGTTTCCAGTGGTAACGAGGACAGGAATTGCCAGCAGAGAGGCTTCTTCCAAGTCCTCCTCTGACATCAGGTATCACTTTTTCTTTTGTAGTTGTTCTTTTGGCTTTGGAAGTAGAGGTTGGTACCAGCTAGGTGGGTTCCTGCTACAGGAAATTTGAGGACATCCAGTTCCTTCATTTACAGGGCATCAAAGGCTCTGAACATTGTAACAACTCCCTTTAATTTATGCTGGGCATCAAGAATATGGACCATTTCTTGGGTGGTAGATAAAGCAAGGGCTTCTCATTATTAATTATTAACCATCTTACAGAAAAGCTCAAATATATTTGTGGGGGAAATTAGGGTTCATAATCTTGAGAGTGTTAGATTTAGAAAAAATGAAAAAATATTTCAAGCATTGCTCTTTTCCTGTCACTATACAATTTTAAATATATTTATAAAACAAGTTAAATATTTGGCATGATTTTAACATGAAATTTAATATAGTTTTGTTCTCAAGCTAACTCAATATGGATTCATGAGATTTATGAGCTTCACTTCTTTTTTTTTTTTTTTTTTTTTTTTGACAGGCAGAGTGCACAGTGAGAGAGAGAGAGACAGAGAGAAAGGTCTTCCTTTTTTCCGTTGGTTCACCCTCCAATGGCCTCTGTGGCCGGCGCGCTGCGGCCAGTGCATCGTGCTGATCCGAAGCCAGAAGCCAGAAGCCAGGTGCCTCTACTGGTCTCCAATGCGGGTGCAGGGCCCAAGCACTTGGGTCATCCTCCACTGCACTCCCAGGCCACAGCAGAGAGCTGGACAGGAAGAGGAGCGACCAGGACAGAATCTGGCACCCCAACCGGGACTAGAACCTGGTGTGCCAGTGCCGCAGGCGGAGGATTAGCCTATTGAGCCGTGGCCCCAGCCCTAGCTTCACTTCTTTTAAGTGTCATGCAAATACTACAGGGAAAGAAAGAATCCTTATGGAAAGGTAGAAATTTCTCCCACTCACTTTGTTTTAATTTAGGGATTGCTAATAATTGTGAAAACTTTAGAAAGTTTCATCATTTTTGAACTTTATTTTTAATACATCTTTTTCTATTGGTTTTGCTTAATTATTTCATAAGTCTTTTACTCTTGTATTCTTCCTGAAATTATCCTTAAGCTGAGGAAGTAATTCCAATTTATCTATTGATTCAATTTCATGTTTCTTATAATGGAAGATGTCAGTGATAGAAAATGATAAAATAGCAAAAACAGCTTCCCTTGTGTTCAAAATTTTATTGACATCGAATCTAAAAAATTATGTAAATTTATTGTATTATCCTAAGATGTGTGTGTTAAGGTACTTAATTTCTGTTTTTAAAATGAGTTTTTTAATATAGATTTTCTAAGAAACCAGAACAAGTTTTATCTGTGATTTTGAGTAGCTCCTGGGATCATTATAGAACACTGCCAGAGACATATATTTGCCAATATATAAAACAAAGTCCCTTTTGTAAAATGAGTTAAAAATAGTGCAACACATGTATACCAAAAACAAAATGTTGATTTGCTCATAGTTCGTGCATTTAAGGATCAACATTTTATTACTATAGCTATACATCTGTTTTATCTATGGCCTCTGAATACTCTTTAAAACCTTCATTTATATGAGAATATAATACTGAAGTCTGGAAGAAGTTTAAAATGTAAACACTTCAAATTTAACTGCATCCTTTAATATCACCATGCCCTTCAAATTCTGAGAACCTATTATCTAGAGTATTGATAGATAATGGGAACCAGGATAAAACACGGACACAGCTGAAAGAAGATTCTCATCCTTAAGCTAGCTTATAGAAAAAGAATTGGATAGAATCCAATGCTACATAAATGATACTTAACATCATACCTGGGATGGAGTGTTTGTAGCATAAAAGAAAATAAGTCATTGACATGAATAGGATATCCAACATACACACACACTGCAAAGCCTAGTAATGTTATATGGATAAAGGAATTTGTAGAGTAGGATATTAGTCTCATTTAGAAACCATTTTCCCTTTAAAAACATAATTTTATAAAATTCAAATTTTAATTGATTTTATAAAATATTTTATAACAACCTCCATGTAGTATGAGATAACCATTGCAGCTTTTTCCTTTTAGTAAACTACTTTATTTATTTATTTATTTTTTGACAGGCAGAGTGGACAGTGAGAGAGAGAGAGACAGAGAGAAAGGTCTTCCTTTTGCCGTTGGTTCACCCTCCAATGGCCGCCATGGCTGGCACGCTGTGGCCGGCGCACCGCGCTGATCTGAAGGCAGGAACCAGGTGCTTATCCTGGTCTCCCGTGGGGTGCAGGGCCCAAGTACTTGGGCCATCCTCCACTGCACTCCCATGTGGGTGCAGGGCCCAAGCACTTGGGTCATCCTCCACTGCACTCCCGGGCCATAGCAGAGAGCTGGACAGGAAGAGGAGTGACTGGGACAGAATCTGGCACCCCGACCGGAACTAGAACCCGGTGTGCCAGCGCTGCAAGGCGGAGGATTAGCCTAGTGAGCTGCGGCGCCGGCAGTAAACTCCTTTATGGTTTACAGACACATACCAGCCAACCTGCAAATCTGCACAGCATTTAAGGTTCGTTTCTAAGACATTCATCCTGTAACTCCCTGTGGAAATCTCACCAGACTACATCATTTCCCTTAAGATCTCCACTGATTTTCATAGTCCTTAATTTTCTCACCAACTCTCATACATTTCTTTTCCTGTATTTATTGTTCTTAGCATATGCTATTCTCATTACTGTTGCTGAAGAAATTCTAGTCACCGTTCATTTTTGGTATTTTGTATAACATCATCTTCCACCAAGTCCTTTCTCCCTTTCCATGGTTCAATCGACATATTTTATTTCATCTTTGTAATATTATGTTATCTTCTTTGCTTTCAAATCTTTTATACCCAATGTGTTTGTATAAAGATGAATAAAAAGAATAGCCTCTAAATATTTTTTTAAATAGATGTGATTAGGGCTGGCATTGTGACTTAGTGGGTAAAGCTGCCAACCTGTGAGACTGGCATCCTATATGGGTACAAATTCGAGTTTGAACTGTCCCACTTCCAATCCAGCTCCCTGTTAATGACTTGGGAAAAACAGTAGAAGATGTCCCCAATAAGTTTGATATAACTGGGGAATAATTAATAGCTTTTCTTTTCTGGATGAAAATTGTATATTCGCTCATCATATATTTTGTCAAACTATGTAACAATCTCTGAGACAGACCTTAAAAGTCAGTATTTACTGGCAGCACTATGGATGACACCATGCTATGAGTAAAAATTTAAGCAGAATTAAATAATTAAAATTAGGGATATGCAGATTCAAGAAATCGAACAGTATTTCAGTATGAACAATCCATAGAGCCACAGCATTGAAGTAGTAATGGAATTGGGCCATTTTATGTGTTTCAAAATATGAAATAGTCTCCCTAAAGAACTAACACCTAGTACAGAGCATGACAAGATTGTGGGGCAATCACTCTATCATTGCTTAGACCAAGGTTGAAGAATATATGTAGCCCCTCCCACCAATATCAGTATCTATAAACCAGAGATGGTAATGGAGTGTAAATATGGATAAGCAAGAACAGATAAAGAGACGTACTATTTAAGCCAAAGTTGCATTCTGTCCTATGGTCCAAGATTCTGGAGCAGCAGAAGTACAGGCCTTCAACGTAATCCTGTGCTAACTTGGTGAGAATTATCTGAGATCAAAGTGTTAGACTAGTTTAGCAGCCCAAACTCCCAGGATCCCAGAAAGTGATGCATCTCTTGGCAGAAGTCATTATTCTTCAAGACAACCCTGTGTCATCGGTTGCAGTTCCAGGACCCTGTAACAACCTCATAGTCGTAAGTCTGGAAAATTTGGATAATATGATTAACCCAAGACACATAAGTAGAACATGAGAAAGGGAAGCTGTGACCTGTGCCTGGCTTGAGGTATCCACCTGGGAGGCTCTGCCAGCTCATGCAGTCTCAGAGAACAGGCACTTAGACAACTTTGAGGCAACTGCTCCGAAACACCATACCCCGAGGTCAAGTCAGGGACCTCACTTCCCACAGTCTAACAGTGATGTTATGAGACAGCTAAATTTTCATCTTATCTAATATCAAGTTTTAAAACAATAATTAAAACTAAAAAAAAGAAAACCATAAAGAGCAACATAGTGCATTACTTAGAAGTAGGAGGTAGTAAAAAGCAACTGAAAAAGCAGTACTGAAAGTGGTTGCCTTTTGGAGCTAGGAATTTGAAGAAGAAAGAATATGGGATGGGGAATACTGCTTTTGAATGGTTTGGTTTTTTGACTAGCAAAGGATAAATTGTATCACTTTAAAGGATTACATTTATTATTATTTTACTTGTAAAACCTTCACACAACCAGCATTCTGCTGCTGTTGTTAGTTCCCATGCTTCATAAATTTTCTGTCATATTTGATAGAATAGTGTAGTCTCATTTTTAAAAATCTATCTTATTTTTATTAGAGTGAGAGGGAAGGAAGGAGAGAGGGAGAGAGGGAGAAAGAAGAGAGAAAGAGAATCTTCTTCTGCTGGTTCACTCCCCAAATGACCACAATGGCTGGAGCTGGGCCAGGCTGAATGCAAGATCCAGAAACTTGGTCTGGGTCTCCCAAATAGGGGTTAGAGGCCCCAAGTACTTGAGTCATCACCTGCTGCTTTTCCAGTGGCATTAGCGGGGAGCTGATTCAGAAGCAGAGCAGATCAGACTTAAACCAGTGCTCAGATATGGGCGGGTATTGCAAGCAGCAGCTTAACCAGAGGGGCAACACCAGCCCCTATTCTCATTACTTAAAGCTGATCTCAGTGTACAGCACACTTGTCCTTAGTGTGCTGTACATTGAGATTTAATGCTATAACTAGTACTCAAACAGTATTTTTCACTTTATGTTTCTGTGTGGGAGCAAACTTTTGAAATCTTTACTTAATGTATGCTAAACTGATCTTCTGTATATAAAGAGAATTGAAAATGAATCTTGATGTGAATGGAAGGGGAGAGGGAGTGGGAAAGGGGAGGGTTGCGGGTGGGAGAGACGTTATGGGGGGGAAGCCATTGTAATCCATATTCTGTACTTTGGAAATTTATATTCATTAAATAAAAGTTTAAAAAAAAAAAGCTGATCTCTTGGTTTCATGTTACGAGAATCTTTAATCGCTCCACCTTTCTTGGCATCTTTTATCCATCCTGCTTTCAGTATTAGACGCTAAGACACTGTTTGTATTTTGTTTTACTTCTGTGTACATTTCTTGCTTCAGTGAGTTCATCCTTTCTCCTTTTGGGTCATCATAACTTCCAGGCAGTTGACTACTGAAAGTATATTTAATGCCCAATTAAATCTCTATACATAGAAGTGTTTGATAACATCATAGAAAAAGGATAAACTGAATATAAATTGGTAAGAACTATAGATGTTAGAACTGAATTATGGGCTGGCGCCGTGGCTCAATAGGCTAATCCTCTGCCTTGTGGTGCCAGCACACCAGGTTCTAGTCCCGGTAGGGGCACCGGATTCTGTCCCGGTTGCCCCTCTTCCAGGCCAGGTCTCTGCTATGGCCAGGGAGTGCAGTGGAGGATGGCCCAGGTGCTTGGGCCCTGCACCCGTATGGGAGACCAGGAAAAGCACTTGGCTCCCGGCTTTGGATTGGCACTGTGTGCCGGCCACGGCGGCCATTGGAGGGTAACCAACGGTAAAGGAAGACCTTTCTCTCTGTCTCTCTCTCTCACTGTCCATTCTGCCTGTCAAAAATAAAATAAATAAATTTAAAAAAAAGAAGAACTGAATTACTACATAAAATGTAATGCCAAAGGTAAAATTAATTAAGAATAATTATTTTCTTCCAACTCCAGAAGTCCACATATTCTATACATAGATTATATATAATCTTATTTTTTGTAACTTCATAATTGTCAACATTGCTTCATTTGATTTTTTGGGCCAACTTTTGTGAAAAGCACTTTGACTCATAATTTTAACTGGTACTGAGAGAGTTGGTAACACAAAAGACACAGTTCCTTTAGTTTCATGGCTATTGGAGGTTTTCATTAATTAAATTATCAAAACCTGGTTGAAACACTGGAAGCTATTTCTAATTTAAAGGTTTTTTTTAATCATTTATTTATTTTAGAGGGAAAAAAGACAAAGAGTATGTGTGTGCGTGTGTGCAATGGAAATACTGACAGACACACAGAGGGAGAGACAGAGAGAGAGACACATACACAGACACACACACAGACACACAGACAGACACAGACAGAGCAATCATACAATGATTTCCCAAATGTCCACAATGGCTGGGCTAAGCTGAATCCAGAGCCAGAAGCTGATAACTCAAACTAGGTCTCCTGTATGGGTGTCAGGAACCAAAATACTTGAATAATCTCACCACATTCTTTCTGGCTGCACTGACTGGAAGCTGTAATTAGAAGCCAGAGCTGGGAATCAAACTCTCGTATTCAAATATGGAACATGGGTGTCTGAATCGGTAGGTTATATGCCTGCTCCAAATTTCAATGTTATTTTATTTGTGAAAACCAGGGTCCAAAAGAGGCACTGGTTTTCAAAAGTTGAAAAATTAACAAGTACAAAGACAAGGATAAAGGTCACATTGAATTCTTCCTTTTAACTATACTGTATTGCTTCCTCTAATCTAAAAAAGTATAAATTTTTAAAAAGCTACTACATGAATAATGTACTAATTATCATTTTACTGTATGGAATTTAATTACATAATGTAATTAAAGGCATATATTAATTTGGCCAATTCTTATTCTTGAAATCAATGGAAAATTGGATACTTAATGCATAATTATGTGAAAATTATCAACTTCATTTTTCAATGTCTGTTCTTTTAGAAAAATCCCTGAATACTGATTAACCAAACATAGCAATGCAATATATAATAGAAAATAAACATGCAATAACTGACATTTGCATCAGTGCTTATAGTTAAACCACAAGTTATTGATATATACTTCTTTGGATATGGAAGCTGTTGAAGAATCAATTAATATCTGTAATATACAATTCTAATTTCAAAGTGGCTTTACTCATTTTACCAGCTACTTACCAACCAGCACAAGATGTTTCTCATTTGTGGCATCTCTAGCCCTCAGATGAACTCCAGGATTAACCATGAAGGAGAAGAGAAACAGCATGCAAAAGCAGGTCGACTTTATCCATAAATAAGGAAACAGGATTGATCAAGCTCCAGAACCAGCAACCTCTGTCACAATTTACTCCATGAACACCATCTACCTGCTTCATTCTTCAGTTCCATGAATATTGAAAATTCACCCCTTCACCAGGGAGAAAACCTAAAACATTTAGTAGTGAAGTCAACCATGGCCCAGGAACTCCAGGAGAATGTGAAATAATCTCTGCCACATAGTTGGAATACAGTTCACCTTGGCCTGATCAATCTATGATCTAATGAGCCTTCAACCTTAGTCTTACCAACATACTATTGTGTATAAGGAAATGATGAACATCATGAAATCTTTTAAGCTGAAAAGAGATGTGAAGATTTTTTAGCAATCGCAAGTAATCGTTGGACTCTTGTGGTGCAAACATGAGGTCCCCACCTTGGTAGTGGGGGTACTATGTCAGTAAGTTATTTATGTTCTTTGAGAATAGCTCTCTTTTCATTTTTTCTCAAACCTGGTCTTGTCCTTTAAGGAGGTGAGTGAGACTTCTTTGACCACATCTGAAATGTGTTGCATGATGTAGATCTTTTTAACACAAGTGTTTTTGAAGCTAGATTCATGGGTACTTCAGCTATATAAATCCCCTCAGAACATAATGGGGTTTGTAATCTACTTTTCCTCAGTCAGTTCTTTGTGCCCATAACCATATGCCACTATTTCAAGGGCCATGTTTCTTAAATCTGCACCATTTCCTTGCATAATTTCCCAGTATTTATTGCTCTTGATTAATGTCTGCTATCGATAGCCTATCTACTTTGAGATGAAAGACTTAAAAGTCCAGGTTTTAATAGACCTTTGTTGTTTTCTCAAACTTGTTTTCTTCTCCTTTTATTTAAAACACAAATTTTCTGAGACTTCAATACCACAAATTCTTAGAATCCTTTCTCCTCTGGATTACTTTATTTTACTATGTCTAATACCTTTAAATTCACTTCTTTTTTTTTTTATTTATTTATTTGACAGGTAGAGTTACAGACAGTGAGGGAGAGAGAGAGACAGAGAGAAAAGTCTTCCTTCCGTTGGTTCACTCCCCAAATGGCCACTTGGGCCGGGGCTGTGCCTATCTGAAGCCAGGATCCGGGTTCTTCTTCCTGGTCTCCCATGCAGGTGCAGGGGCCCAAGCACTTGAGCCATCCTCCACTGCCTTCCCGGGCCACAGCAGAGAGCTGGACTGGAAGAGGAGCAACCTGGACTAGAACCTGGCGCCCATATGGGTTGCCGGTGCCGCAGGAGGATTATGAGCCATGGTGCCAGCCTCTAAATTCACTTCTATATTTATAACACATATTAAAATTTTCATTCTTTTCAATTACTTGCCCTAGAGCACTTGGCATGAACTTCCTTCCATGTCATGGTAGGTTATGGGATTACCAATGGTTTTGTGCCACTGTTATGGATCATCAGCTTTATACAAGAACTCTTTGGGACAAAGTCAGCTTAGGGATTGCTCTTCTTCCAATCTGATATTTCATCCACAATTATCTGTCTCAGGGAAAGACACAAAGCATTCACTAAAATACCCAAGAACAAACTCAGGGAATCTTAACTCTTACTGCTCTTACATACCAACTCTTATTAATCATAAAGACCATTTTATCATACTTGAATATTTCTTGAAACTACTTACTTCCTTTATCTTCGCTGTAGCTTCCTCCTAACTGGAAGGATTAAGTTCTGACTCCACTGCTCAAAAAACATTCAAATAAGAGCACATTCTTGTTCCTCAAAATTCCTCCTATTAACCCCAAGATAAATTAAAAATGTTCAGTAAAGTATTTAAATTATTTTTATTTGTCCAGACTGCACTACTTGCATCCATAGTTATTATTCCCAAAATTGCATCCCAACCATGGGCCAACTCCAGAGGCTGAGTTTTCTCTTTTTCTTTTGTTCCCATAACACTGTCTATCCCTCCATATTTCTACAGTTTCTTTTTATTTTTCTCTTGTTGTCTCCCCAATAAAACTTGATCTTTGAGGACATCTGCAATGTTTTATTTTTTCCTTTAATCGCTAGTCTTTGATATATTCCAAGGCACAGTAGAGGCACTTGTTTACCACTTGATGAATGAAGGAGTGGAAGCATATATTAGATAATAAGCAGCCTCCATCCACCTCCATCATTCATACAAGTAGTTCAGAGAGCACTGAATATCTTTCTAATGCAGGGTTCTTTACAAGAATCTACCAATGGCCCAGATGCACTACTGTCTAATGCACATCTTGTCCGGAGACAAGATTTAGGCATCTCAAAATCTCAAGAATATTTTAAGTATATATTAAATCTTGTATCATTATATCAGTGCATAACAATATATTTATGGGAATAAGAACTTCATGGAAGAATCTGCTAGCAGCAGTAGAGAGACATTTTTGTCATTATTCAATTATGTTAAAGAAAAGGGAAAATAGATAAGACTCCAGTACCCAAAAACCAAAGGTTTACCTACTTTCTTTTATTCTTTTCTGCAGAAAAATAATTAGTGCATGTTTTAGAGGTTAGTGAATGTGGAGTTTGCATCTGTGGGTAATACACATTCTAGTTCTGAGCATGAAAAATGCCTTTCTAGAACAGAAGTATGTTGCTAAGGAACCATCACAGCAGAAAAGAAAATAATGACAGTCTCACATGGAACCCGACTAGGTTTACTTCCTATAAGTTCCTAAGCCCTTCAGCATCAAAACAAAACAACAGATAGAAAAGCTACGAATTCGAGGCCTGCTCTCTGGCATATTGGGTAAAGCCAACACCTACAGTGCTGGCATCCCATATGGGTGCCAGTTCGAGTCCCGGCTGCTCCACTTCCGATCCAGCTCTCTGCTATGGACTAGGAAAGCAGTAGAAGATGGCCCAGGTCCTTGGACCCCTGCACCCACATAGGAGACCTGGAAGAAGTTCTTGGCTCCTGGCTCCTGGCTCCTAGCTTTGGATCAGCACTAATCCTGCTGCCGACGCCAGTTGGGGAGTGAACCAGTGTATGGAAGACCTCTCCTTCCCTCCCTCCCTCTCTCTCTCTTTCTCTCTCTCTTTCACTCTCTGCCTCTCTTTCTCTCTGTGTAACTCTGACTTTCAAATAAATAAGTAAATCTAAAAAAAAGAGGAACCTACAATTTAAAAAAAATTACGAATTCAATTTCAGTTAAGTCTGAAAGTTACCCAATAATCAGTATCTTAAGTAAATATCTCAAATGATTTTAAAGTAGTTGACTGATAGCTTTCATATTAAAATATTTGGAGTAGTGTTTAGTACATGTGAATGAAGTTGGAATGGTGTAATTGAATTAGCCTAATTGCTAATTTCTTTGAGTACATACTTAGCATCTCTAAACTGTTTAGGTTGTCTTTATTTGTAGCTTCACAGAATTGAAAATAAATTGGTTTGTTTATTAGCAATGACGTTTAAGAAAGGATCACAGTTAGATCAGATAGAGTATTTTATGGCCCACAAAGTCCAGCTATACAGAAGCAGAGGTAAGTGAGGGTTAATTCAATCACCTTCACTATCAACTAATACAAAATACTGTATTAGTCATTAATTCTAAGTTACCCCTTCTGAATTTTGTTTTCTTTCATTTGTTTTTCCTTATTTGGATGGACTCTTCTACATAGGAGGAGAGATCAAAAAAGGCATAAGCCATGCTCCTCCCACACTGAGCAATTGCATAAAATATTTAGTGATTAAAAGAAGATAAAATAAAAAGAAAAGTGCTATTTTTTCCTTACTCTCTATGCTCATGTTTTTTGGGTACTCCCTTTAGTTAACCTTGATGTTAGTCATTTGGCTTAAATTATAGGAAAATTAAGTAGCAATATGCAATAAACTAGTAATAGGATACCCAAGAATGCTATATGATAAATGTAAATTTTTCAAAATTGTTAAATGTCGAAAAGTATAATTGAGTATTTTTAAAATCCGGAGGGCATTTATTATGTAATATTAATTCTAACTACTAAAGAATTTTCAGTTATGCTGAGAGGAATAAGAATCAAAGAAACTAAGTATGAATGAAACTTAGATTAATCTTAGTTCACAAAAAACACTACTTCTGCCAAAAATAACAATGAGAACCATAGAATAATCTTTAAATTTCCTTAAATTTCAAACCCAGGAAAATATAGAGCATTAGTCTTTAAGTGCAAGTCTATTAGTTAAACAGTTAAATTTGTAGTTGGATATTTTCAGCACTTTCTTCTGATTGTTATTTATTATGGCTGCAAGATCTGTCAGAGGCTTTTAGGACATGAAATACGATGTAAGTTGACAATATGTAATTTATATAGAAAATACTTCTGGAGAAAACAAGAAGAAGGTTGTTTATAGAGGTGATCTTGTATGACAGCAATATATCTTAAAATATTTGAGATTCATAGCAATTTTCTTCCCATTTCAAATACTCCATTTTCTCTGGTGCTTATTTTTTTTAAGTCTTCAGTTTTCCTCTGCATGAAAAAGCCAAAAGGTACTAATGTGAAACTCACTCCAGTACTTCAGAAAATGCTATTTTATTACTAAAACAAACTAGTTATCAGCAACATATTGGAATGAATAAAAATTAATAATGTCCAAATGAAATTTTGTTTCCCTATTGTGAGATGAGAGCTGAAAGTGAATTCTAAAGGAATATGACTTATTCAAAATAAGAAAGGGTAAATTAATCAGGGTGTAATTAACTGAAATTTGCATCAATTAAGTGACTTGGAAGGTACTCAATAGGAACAAAACATTGTTACATAAGTACTGAATTAATATAATTTTGTTAAATATGAGGAAAATGTTTTATCTTTAAAAAACAGATAGTTTTAAAACCAGTTTGCATTTCTTTAGAATAAATAGTTCAAATTTTCTGTTATTAATTTTTGGGTAGTTTATTCCAGTATCTTTCTAAGAATCATGTAAGTGTTCTAAATAATGAAGACCAGGATGGTGTTATAGATGCCTCTTGTACAATTGTTCATTTCTCTATATTGCAGTTAAATGCGATGACAGTCAGTGATAATAATCAATGTTACAAAAATTCCTCTGACAATCTGTGCCGCATTTTATATGCTTGTATTTTTAAAAGTGTTTTTCATTATGCTACATTGTGTTCTTTCATAAGGATGCACGTGAATAATTTCTTTAAGACTCAATAGCAGGGCAGGGCTGGAACTGTGGCTTAGTAGGTTAAGCCTTCACCTGAGATACAAGCATCCCATATGGGAGCCGGTTCATGCCCTGGCTGCTCCTTTTCTGAACCAGCTGGCTGCTATGACCTGAGGAAGCAGTGGAAGATGGCCCAAATGCATAGACTCCTGCCCCTGCATGGAAGACCCAGAAGAAGCTCCTGGATCCTTATCTGGTCCAACTTTGGTCCAGCTCTCGCCATTATGGACTTTTGGGGAGTGAACCAACAAATGGAAGACCTTTTGCTCTGTTTCTCCGTCTCTCTGTCTGTAACTCTGCCTCTCAAATAAATAAAATCTTAAAAAAAAAAGATTCGACAGCAGTCACTATTCTAAAGAATAACTATATATATGTTATATATATAGTTATATATGTTATACAATATATTAGAAAGAGATATATAGTGCTACTTGTAATATACAGCATGTATGTTATATATGTATACTACATGTATATATATTTGCTTATTATATACATATATAAATATTATATGTGTTCATTATCATAAATTCCAAAAAATAGCAAGGGAGAGTAGCTAAAAAGTAAATTAATAAAAATATATTCAGTTAGAATACAAGAGAGTCAATACACTAAAGAGAAAAGTAGAAGCATTGAGTTAGTAGTGGTGACCCCTAGCCTTCTACCCCAGGATTAGACAGTGAGTCTTCGTGTAATGACATCAGACATGATTAGGGTTACTATTTGAAGAACTACTGGGAAATCACTGCTTTGGACACATATATGCAAAATCACCATGGCACAAACACAGCTATATCATAAACACTTGAGCTTGGTTAACTGCTGGTCATGTTGCATTGTCACACTGTCACCATTGTCCCAAGACCCAAACTGCCTTTGAAAATGTGTTTCTCATTCTACACTGAAAGCCCTAAGAGCTGAGCAGAAGGAGCAAAAATAGGGATAGTCAGAAAGTTGGAGATAAACACTTACTTACAGAGTTAGCCAAAAAAAAAAAAATAAATAAATAAAACCCTAGCTACATAGCAATAATAATAAATAATAATAATAATTTAAAATTATGTCATCATGACATAATAAAAACAAATGTTTTAACAATATGGAAACAGTTATTCATTAAAAAATCCAACTTTGTGTTAGTTTTATTCTTACAGTATCAGTTTGGGCTTTCTTCATTATAAAATTTTTATTAAATGACCCATTGGAGCAGAATGGAATACTTGAGTCTGGAATTTCTGAAGTGGAGAAGCTCCTGGTTATGGCAAGATCCGAAATGTGACCTAGCAATGGGTGGGTGTAATGCAATGATGATGGAAGCTGCTGGCATCAATGGGGTCAAGGAGTAAAGAGCAGGCTGTGAATGAATGATCCATGATGACAATGGACTTGCTTTTGATCACAGAAATGTGAATGGAGAGAAGATCATAACCAGTACAGAATACCATGACTAAGTTGGTTTCCCCAGAGGTCAAAACAAGATAGTTTTGGTAAGAGAAGCCAAATGGTAAGCCAAATGGTAAGAGAAGCCAAATATTCTGCTGTTTTTAAATCACAGGTAGCATTATTACTGTCTTTGGCAAGTTCCTTACTCAGAATTCACTTACGTCAAGCGCATTCTGAGTGGTTTATTGTTCTAATTTGTCTCCTCTTTAGACTATTTTCTTTGTACTATAGCAATTTCTTCCTGACTTTCAACTTTGGCAGAGTACCCTAGAATTTGTTTATTTCATTTCTATTCTTTTTTACTCACATTCATCTCTTTTAATAACCTTTTTGTCATGTTTGGAAATATTTATTTTTTTTCCTTTTTTTTTTAATTTCTGAGATCAACAAATTTTATCTATTTCATGTGAACAGATTTAGGAGCATAGTGATAGTTTCCACCCTACCCCTCTCCTGCTCACACTCCCACCCTTCTTCCATTCTTATTATTTCTCTCAATTTTTACAACGATCTACTTTCAGTTCATTTTATACTCTTACGATTTATACTACACTAAGTAAAGTATATGGAATAATACTGAACCATAAAAAAGAAGGAAATCATGTCTTCTGCAACAAAATGGATCCAACTGGAAACCATTATGCTTGGGGAAACAAACCAGTCCTAAAAAGACAAATACCATATGGTTTTCCCTTATATATGGTAACTAATAGAGTACCAAAAATGTAATGTATATGAGTAAAATTGACATTTTGAGATTTGATGATTGTTTATAGCCCTTATCTCTACTATTGAGGAACAGTGGCTTTTTCTTCTTAATATTTGTTGAAATATTATTTCTATATTGATATTCCATATCTCTAAATTT